ACAGGCGCAGCAGCAGTTGCAAGTGGACGACTCGGTGCCGCTGCCGCCGCAGTGGATGCCCGGAGCTGCTGGGGGCCTCGCTGCCCTCACAGCGTTTTGCTCGCCGCAGCGGCTGTCTGCGTATGCGTCTCGGAACGACCCTCTGTTAAACACTCAGAGCGGGATTTCCCCTTGGCTGCACTTTGGTCAGCTCGGGGCGCAGCGTTGTCTGTTGGCTGTCCGAGGGTTGGGGCCTGCAGCGAAGATAGGGGCGGCTGCATCAGCAGGCAGAGCCTCCTTCATTGAGGAACTTGTAGTGCGGCGGGAATTAGCTGAGAATTTCACCTTCTATAACGCGGCGTATGACCAGATTGCGGGGGCCCCCCAATGGGCGCAACAGACGCTGGAGGCCCACCAAGGGGATAAGAGGGAACACGTGTATTCCCTGGCGCACTTTGAAGATGCAAAGACACACGACAATCTCTGGAACGCTGCTCAGCTGCAGCTCGTTCACGACGGCAAGATGCACGGCTTTTTGCGAATGTACTGGGCGAAGAAGATCCTAGAGTGGAGCCCTTCAGCTGCGGAGGCACTGAAGACTGCGCTGTATCTGAACGACAGATTCTCTCTCGATGGGACAGACCCCAACGGCGTCGTGGGCTGCATGTGGAGTGTCGCAGGCTTGCATGACCAGGGCTGGGCAGAGCGGCCCGTCTTCGGCAAAATTCGTTATATGAATTTCGCGGGTTGCAAGCGGAAGTTCGACGTGGACGCGTTTGTGCAGAAAGTTCAAGAAAGCGTCCGCAAGCGTTCACAGGGAGAAGCCGAGAAACCCCCCAAAAGAAAACTAAAACAAGAAACCTCTAATATCAAGGGCACTCGGGGGATACAAACGACCACTACCAGTGCAACAAAGCCAAAAAAGAATAGATAAATGCTCCCTCTATTAAGACCTCAGTAGTGCCTTGCCTTGCAGATGGCAGCAGAGGTTCAGACAAAAACCAGAAAGGCTCTGTGCTCGGTTTTATAAAG